AAATTTTCTTTTATCATCTTTGTCTAAAGTTTTTTTATATTCATCAACAATCTATGAAATTTGCGCAATGTCATTTCTATTATAATTTCTATTTGGTTTTGCATTATCGATTATTCTTGTAGATAAATAAATTTCATTTTCATCTTCATTTTCAGCTAGTTGTTTAGGTGAAGATGGTTGTCTTAATAATGCTATTCTTTTTTCTCGTAGTTTATATAAAATTTCTATTATTCTAGATTGCAAAAGATATTCTTTCTTGATTTCAATATCAATTCTTATTTTCTAATTATTTTGCAAGCCTTCAATATTTGTTTTAATATTTATTGATACGGCAAAATTATCATATAAGTTATTATTATATTTTTGTTTTCTTTTAGTAGTTAAATTATTGATTTTTCTATTTCTGGTAAGTAATATTTAATTTAATTTTAAAATATCATCTGCAAATTCTAAGTTATCATTAAGTTCATTTAAATTCTGATAATGATCAATTAATTCAAAAGTAATATCATATATTTCATCTTCAGTTTCACTTTAAATTATATCTAATTTCTATCTTCTAAGAATATGTAGATCTTCTATTTTTTGATTATTTGTTAAGAATTCTTTACGTATCTCACCAATTCTATTATCATAGATCCTTTATCTTCTAGTTTACTTGAAATTTTTTTATTTTTTATATTATTTTTAAGTTCATCAAATACTTTATCTGTTAAGTTTTAAATTCTTTGTTTTCTTAATGTATGAAGTTGATTTTTTTGTAGTTCTGTTAACAAAGAATCATTTGTTATTAAAACTTCAAGTGATTTTCCATCAAGTAAATTTGAAATAAATACTTCATTTTCAATTTCCATTTTATATTGGTCAAATTTTTTTGAGCCTTGAATTTCCTATTTTTGATTATTTCTAAGTTTATATAATTCAGCTTTTTGTTTATTATCAAAGTATTTAGCTTTATCAATAGTATCTTTCTAAATAGTTTCTAATTGTATAGAATTTTTTT